AAGGCCAAAACAGCCCAGTGAAGAGTACCCGATTCCACCATTACCAGCTAACTACAGAATTGCTATTTCTCTTTTTTTTCCTCCCAGAAAGTTAAGTTTCTCATTCCTGTACTGGTAACTGTTCTCCCGGGAGACTAGGGTTAGGATGTATCTAGGAACAATGAGGTAGGAAGCTGGTGTATTTGGGATCTGCACTTCATGATTGTGTATTCCTGTTAAATTTCTCTGGGAAGAGAAAATCACTAAATCTATCTAGTACTGAAAAAAAAAATTGTGTTTCGGCTTCAGTCCCTTTCCCCAACAGATGTCATTACATATGTGCAAATATTCTGGGGGAAAAAAAAAAATCAAGTCAGCCAGGCACTGACCAGAACACCAGAACCACTGTGGCTCACAGGAGTAGAGCGCTAGCCTTGAGCAAAAGAGTCAAGGACAGTGCCCAGGTCCTGAGTTCAAGCCACACAACCAACAACAAAAATATATATCAAGTCAAAAACCCCTCTGACCTTCACAAAGGGCATAGTCCACGTGTTTAATTCAGACACACTACAGGGGAGGGAAGGCTGGCTCATGCAAGGCCTAGGTACACTGTTAGTCAAGTTGGCCACTGTCACTATTAGCAATGGGAAGAAAACCAGAAGAGGACCAGAGAGTAGTCTGAAGAAAGCTCACAGCTTCATCCCCATCTTTTCTACCATTTAAGAGAACAAAGAAAAGTCATAGCACCATTTGTTCTGTTGCATCTTGTTTTTTAAGACAGGGTCTCCCTATGGAGCTGGCTTTAAATTCATCATCCTCCTGCTTGTGCCTCTCAAGGGATTACAAGCATGAGCTACCATACCCAGCTCTGTGTGTGTGTGTGTGTGTGTGTGTGTGTGTGTGTGTGTGTGTGTGTGTGTGTGTGTGACAAAGGAGACCCATCTGGGTGAGTCCCCCCCCCCACAGCTCCTCAGGGACTCATCTCTTGATCACCTCTGGGTACTACTCTCTAGGGTACATGCTCCCTAAATGGATGTTAAAAGAACAAATGAGGGGCTTGGAGCTTAGTGGTAGAGCGCTTGCCTAGCATGCATGAACCTTGGGTTCAGTACCTCAGTACTACATTAACAGAAAAAGCCAGAAGTGGCATTATGGCTCAAGTGGTAGAGTGCTAGCCTTGAGTAAAAGAGCTCAGGGACAGGGCTGGGAAGGTGGCTCAGTGGTAGAGCGCTTGCCTTGCATGCTCAAGGCCCTGAGTTCGATTCCTCAGCACCACATAAGCAAAAAGAAAAA